ATTAGTTCAGAGCATGTATGTACCAAGTTTCATCAAAATCCAATGAGTGGTTCTTTAGATATCAGTGGAACAGTCATAGAACAGCTAAAAATTAGCTAATTATCATGCAAATTAGGTAATTAACGAGCATGGATTTTTACCAAAACCTAATCAAATCTGCGCATTGGCCCAGAGCATCTATGCACCAAGTTTCATCAAAAACCGATGTATGGTTCTTGAGATAGCAGTGGAACAGTCGGACACACATACACACATACACACATACACACATACACACATACAGACACACTAACTGCAAAGACTCCCATTTTGTGCTTCGCACATGGGAGTCAAAAAGGATACAAAAATAAACATTTCTACATTGATCACTGTCCTATGATTTATTTATTTTTCTAGGTAACATTTCAATTGTTGATCGTGATATGTAAATACATGTAGCCAAAGTTATTACAGTGAATTCCATGAAGACATGAATGTTTTTTATTGAAATTTATGAAACCCTTACGCTTCATTCAGATCCAAGGAATATGCTTTCATTGGTTATAAAAGATATTTGGTAATGTCCATTACCCATGAGTCTTAGATTTCATTCAATTATTGATAGATTTACAGCTATGCATTCATAAACACATTGTGATTGGTCAAGTTGTTTTTAGATGTCATTTAAAATTGTTATGAACATTTATAAATATTTGATACAAAAACACATTCAAGCTTACATGAAATTCATTGTATTATTATTGATAACAATTTAACAAAGAATTCACCTTGTTTGAATCACCGAGTAATTGACTTTCCCGGATTAACTTGGCTCTTGAAAGCTCAGCCACAAAACAAGTCCTCACTGGCAAAAAGAAATGACAATCAAAACATACATTTACATAAAACATAGTAAAACTATCAAGGTCTTGTCCATGATGACTATTGAATTTTGATTTTTATATTCATGAGTAAACATCATGATAGTAAAGACCAACCAGCATTTGTTTTTTTACAACAAGAGCACTAATATTCTGGTGCCATTACAGACGCCTTTTGTATGTTTAAATGTTTGTTATATTTTATTTTAGTATGTTTTCTTTTTTGTGTGTATTTTATGGGCTGTGTACCTGAAATATAGAAATAAAAATAATAACAAATCATCTGATTCTACAAGTAGGTTCTTTAAAATGTAAGGGGACAGCTGATTGGTGCATTTTACCATAGCTTTCTTATGACCACCAGATGCCAGCAAAAGGCCCAGGTTTTATGATTACGGGTATAATATAGTGGTGACAGTACACACGCATAGTCAATGAGAAGATGTAAAACCAGCTTTACAAAACGAAACACTATTACAATTTTCGGTAAAAAAGGGGGAACAAAAATCATATTCAGGAGTTTATTTTTGTTTTTGTTTTCACTAATGGACATTGGGGAAATAGGCATATACATTTATGACACGCTCATCATTGTTTTGTTAGACAATAAGCATACAAAATCTTTTGGAAGAATGCAATTTTAGTTGTTGCAATTTTTGTGTAACCACAATGTTTTGTAAAGCTGGTTTCACACAACTTCCTACTAGCCATGTGCACCATCAGAACCAGGTTCAGATTCAAATTGCAGATTATATGTCATCTATTTCTTACTTTTTTTATTATAGATTAATGCCTATAGGAAGCTAAAATTCCTTTCACCAGACAGAAAAACCCCCCACCCCACCCCACCTGCACCCGGACTTGAAATATCATGAGAATATGGTAAAAAAATCATCCAGGTAAGAACATCAGAAAAACAACAAACAATTGAGTAATTCTAAACAAACTCTCACCTTTGATGTCTTCTAAAACACTCTCTGAAATGTTACTAGTTATTGAAGAAAGTGGTCTTACGCCTGCGGCCTCAGTCGTCACAGAGCTACTTTCCAACAGACAAGCCTCAAGATTACTGAAGATAAAAGTGTAATGGTAGAAAACAAAATACAAGTTACAAATTAAAAATATATTTATCATATATATATATATATATATATATATAAACCAAGAGTTAATATATTATTATACACAGCAGAATTTTTCTTAATTCTAATTTAGGTCACTAGAATACACTGTAATATACCCACCTGTGTATAGCTTTCCCTGACAACGGTAAGGCTTGCCAGGATTTTATAATTGGTGTTCCTTCATAAACGTAATTGAAGGTTAAGAAAAGTTTTCTTGTAGTGATCGCCATTTAGATGATACAACAAATTTCATTTTGTAACTTGCTTTAAAAACATTTTCACAAGAGATGGGAAAACACAAAATTCTGTAGGAGTAAACATTTCACCCAAATAATGACGCAAAATATCTATTTGGAAAGTGTTACACTGCACTACAGACACATGTATGTTGTACCAATAAAACATATTTCATATATGGGGTCAAATGACCGAAGAATTAAACGTAAAGACAAAAATCTATTCCCCAAACAACAAGTTTTAAACAGTCTGAAAAAGTCAAAACCACAAAAATTATTTTGATTAAGCTAATTATACATTCATGAATGACACATAAAAACATTGACAACATTCAAAGAGAGATAAACTGTCCAAATCTCGGCTGATTCCAGAATTATTTTTATCTTTTTCTAAGGTACATGTAGAATTCCACTTAAAGTGCCTGTGCAATGCCCACCCTCACGTTTCCCATTTTAGACCTGTGTCCCACTGAAATGGGCAGTTATTGATTTTTTTTGCTGAAAATGATTACTCGTATCCAAGTAAATTTGGGATATTTCTCGTGTTGTAGCCACGCCCACCTATCCTGAAACGGTCGACTGTTTCCGGATTTCCGACTCTCGCCGAAAGTGCGCCACCAAATGCCAAAATGTGAGAGGAAGTCATATCCCTGAGCCGTAATAACACTGGTCATTCAGTATACTTTTAAACGATATACATTTTTCGTTCGGCGTTTTTTTCCCTTTTTTTGTCTATTTTTTTTTTTTTTTTTTTTTTTGAGAGAGAGAGAGTTTTTAGATGTTGTGTTACGGGCAGTTGCAGTGGAACGTATAGTCATAGTGTAAGTATT